ACTAGGGCCCAGATGCAGATTCTGCGGATCCAAGAACTAGGAGCTAGAAGATATGCAGACCTCCCAGGAACTGGATAGGGAGGCTCTGCAGCAGATATGTATCCAGTACAGAAACAAGGCAAGACTAGGACAGGCACCTAACAAGAAAACAAGACAAGAACCCAGAACATGAGCAGGACAGAAAACATGACCCCAGAACATGTACACAAGACATGAGAGAAACATGAACAGGGCAGGACAAGACTGTACATGAACTAGGAATACAAGACAAAATAAAACAAGACCAGAGGCAAAAACAGGAGGAGATATAACTAAGTACTATATATTTAAAACATTGGAGATTTAGACATACATAAATGTCCAAGATGTATGCAGCCCACCACTGCAGCAGAGTACTCCAATTACTGTGGGTTCCTATCTGCCTAAATATGCATGACCAAATAAACAATAATAAAACACACACAGCAGGAACCAACTGAAACAAAAGGATAAATGGAAAAGGAAAGGGTGTGGCAACATAAAGCAAATATTTAAAGGAATCCAAGAGACTGTGAATTCCAGGAACGGAATGCAGGAATGAACCCAGAAAACCCAGCATAAAGAAAACCAGACATAGAATAGAAAACCAGAAAAAACAAGAAAAACTAAACAGAATTGTAAAAAGAGTACTGGATCCCAGAAGCCAAGGCCAGAGATCTCCGCAGAACAGGACAGGATGTGACTATCACATAGCCAAACATGTTTTTGTACATTTGAATTTCAAAACATGTATGTATGTCCTCTCATATGATGAGCCACAAAAAAATAGCAATTTTTGAGAATAATAATCATAACAAGAGTGTGTTGGTATTAAATCTTGGGGAGGGGAAGGGGGTTAAAATCTGTTTTAGTGTCAGTTTACCTACATGTGTATATTTGTGTGTGAATGTAGATTTTATTTATGAATTGTGTTTTGACATGTAAATGAAGTATTTATGGTGTGCACGATCTTTCTGTGTCCCTCAGTATGCCAGGTGCCATCTCTTTCCAAGTCAGCTCTGACTGCCTCTTTAACTGTCAACTTTTGCATTTACTTTCAATGCATTCTCTTTCAATGTTGACACTATAATCAGGGTTCAAGTCCTGGGGGAAAAAAGTGTGGGAACTCACACAAGATCCACCCCCCAACCATCCAAAAAAACTATACGCTCATATACATATATATTTCAGAGGATATATAGTACAACATTTATTGTAAAATGCCAGTTATGTGTGTGATGGGGTGTGTAGGGGGGGTGCTTTGTGTGTGATGGGTGCTGTGTGTTTGAGGGGTGCAGAGTGTGTGTGACGGGTGCTGTGTGTGTGAGAGGTGCAGAGTGTTTGTGGGGATGGGGTGCTGTGTTTTTGTGAGGGGTGCTGTGTTTTTGAGAGGGGTGCTGTGTGTGTGAGGGGGGTGCCTTGTGTTTGTGAGAGGTGCTGTGTGTATGAGGGGAGGTGCTGTGTGTTTGTGAGAGGTGCTGTGTGTGGGGGGAGTGATGTGTTTGTGTGAGGGGTGCATAAGGTTAAGAGAGCATATGTATATTTATTATTTTAAAAAAAACATTAGTAAAAGCTTTGCCCCCTCCCCCCTTCTTCTTACCTTTATCTAGGGAGGTTGACACACTGCCAGTGCTGGTGGTCCGGTGGTGAGTAGTGCTCTTTAGCCTGCAGCTCTTCTGGCTGCAGGCTGTCTGTACTTCTCCCGCGAGGTGAGTGCTGTGTCGGAGCGTTGCCGTGCAATGCCATCAGGATTCTCGAACGAATAGCCTCTTGGGCCAGTGAGGGAGATCATTGATCTCCTCACAGGCCTGAGAGAGCCCAAAGCTACTGAGCATGGCCGGCTCTCCGTGGGCCGGCAAGGGAGATCAAAGGATCTCCCCTGTCGGCCTCTGTACTTGTGGGGCCCCCGGGCCAGTGCCCAGCGTGCCCATGTGGAAAGATGGTCCTGAGGTCCTGCAGGACTACTATGGGAACGGTGTTCCTGCACTTTTTCCACATCAGGAGCACGTTCCTGCAGGACTGGAGCCCTGAATCTAATTCTTTTTTTTAGGCACATCTCAGCACCTTCATATCTTTTTCTCAGCCTGCTTTATTATTTCACACCCATATACCTATAATAGTCCTCCTTCACTTTGTCTCTATGAGCGCTCTTATTTTTTTAGTTCTCCTTTTCTACTTTATTCCCAACAGATGGACTGGTGGTCTTCATGCTGTAATATCAGCTGCAATTGCCTGCATGTGTCCTGCTCCTCTGTGGGGAAAGATCTACATGTGTCAATGCTGCCCCACAAAGGCCATTTGAATTAAAATACCATCAAAGCCATCATAAAAAGTGAGAAAAGACATCAGCCAGGCTAACCACTGCCAGCAAAATGTATAGCAAAATGTGTGGCAGTAAATCGACCATAATATAACTGATAGGGAATCTCACCCATCTCATCCACCTACAAGATTATCTTGAGGGTAGGTTTCCCCTTTCTGCACACATGGACCTAAGCCCTGCACAGTGTGCCGTAGTTTCCATGGTGCTTTGTTCCTGTAAGTATAACACAAGGTAGTTAGGAAGGTATTGGTGCGATTTCAGCATTGTTTTAATGCATTTATTTGTGGAAATGATTAGATTTAATATCATTTATATTTGATCAATATAATCTTATCAATTGTATAAAACAATACTCTTTCACATTTCTATTAAACCTACAATGACATAATATATCTCATAGATTCATAAACGATCTGAAGTCTAAATTATACGGTATGGAGCATGGAATACTAAAATATACATGACTCCTTCTCATTTAATGGTGTTAGTTTCACTTTAAGCAACATTTTCCAGCAGTAATCTGAGCCAGCTTAATTAAGTGTTAAATAGACTAACACTGAAAGCCTTGTCTGTCAAACATTCTGAGCTAAATGTGGGATTTTGAAATATTAAAGGGAAAGCAAATTAAGGATTATTATGGAAAATCTGATAAAAACTGAATTTCTAAAGCAAAATTCTGAGTTGAAAATGTTATCATGTATTGTTTATAATTAATGAAAATTCTACATATGATTTACTGTCACTACTGTGCTGACACGTTTATAGGTTTTCAGGTGTCTAATACTTGACCTTTAGTGAGTTATTAAAGTCACCCAGGACAATTTTTGGTTTGAAAGTTTACCTCTCTTAGCTTTTTCTATTTCACAAAGGAATATCAGTAAGTATGGGTGCAACAATTATAGTTAGTTTTTTAAAGGGTCACAGATAAATATTCATAAAATCCACATGCTGCCAAAAAAAACACACACACACACACACACAGACACACACACACACACAAAAGCTCATAACTCCCAAGTGTAAATTGCTAATATTGTGTGACCTAAACATACCCAGAATATACCTGCCCCTGGACACACCCCAAAAATTACCTAAACCTTTGGTATAGGTTCTCTCTGTATTGGTACAATTGAGCTAGAAAAAATGAAACATGAGGTTTCAGTACTGTATAGTACAGCCCTCATTTGTGAATGTCTGGGGAAGATTTCTTGAGTCCTATTTTCTGGACTTTTTTTGATCAACAGCAGAAACAGACATAAAAAAATGAACTTGATGGATGCAAGTCTTTTTTCAGCCTATATAACTATGTAACTTTCAAAATGGCTGGTCAAAAAAAGGGGACAAATTTGAAATCTGTGCTGTTTTAGCTGATTTTGCATATGCCTACTCTCCTTTGAGAAGACATTTTAGGTGCCTCCCATTAAGATGCAATTTGGCCACCAGAGCCATCTGACCATGAGTGGAGGCATGTCATTGGCCTCTATATTCAGGGCCATTATTGGCTCATAACAAAAGAGGGTGATGTTAGATATGAGAGAAAAGCAAGAAGCAAACTAGGAAGCACCACTGAAAGAGCATAGCAGTAGCAGCACTCATTGCCCTTGACAAAGGTAAGTGTATTATATTATCTTTTTTCTCTTAAATTGCTCAGTCACTCCGTAGCTGAGGCCTGAGACACTCATACCAAGGCTAGTGGCAAAGCTCTACACTACAGGAATGCAGCTGTAATTTTGAGATCTGAGCTGATTCTGATTAATGCTTAGGGGCCAAGTCCTGGGGAATAAAGTGTGAGAACTCACCCAAGATCCAATCCCCTCTCTCCCCTCTCCCCCTCACCCACCCCCCCCAAAAAAAATATATACACTCATATGCATATCTCAGAAAATACAGTGCAACATTTATTGTAAAGTGCCAGTTTACAAAGACATCTCCAAAATTCACATGCAGAGCTCTCTGAATGTGCAAAAGAATTAGAAGTACAAATTCTTAAAACTGGAAAAGTTTTTCAGTTAGATGGGTTGCTTCAAGCCAGAGAGCCATACGACCAGTTTGGGAGTCATACCCTGCACTATACAGTCATTTCCTGAATGCAAGCTTAAAGGACCACTCTAGGCACCCAGACCACTTCAGCTTAATGAAGTGGTCTGGGTGCCAGGTCCTTCTAGGGTTAACTCATTCTTTTATAAACATAGCAGTTTCTGAGAAACTGCTCTGTTTATGAATGGGTTAAGCCTTCCCCCAAATCCTTTAGTGGCTGTCTCATTGACAGCCACTAGAGGCGCTTGCGTGATTCTCACTGTGATAATGCTTTCCTATGCGACCGGCTGAATGCCCGCGCAGCTCTTGCCGCGCGTGCGCATTCACCCGACGGGGAGGAGAGGAGGAGGATCGGAGGAGGAGAGCTCCCCGCCCAGCACTGGAAAATGGTAAGTTTTTACCCCTTTCCTCTCCCCAGAGCCGGGCGGGAGGGGGTCCCTGAGGGTGGGGGCACCCTCAGGGCACTATAGTGCCAGGAAAACGAGTATGTTTTCCTGGCACTATAGTGGTCCTTTAAGCTCAGCTCATAACAGTAAGCAAAAATCTCAATTTAGTGGCTTTAACAAGGTCTTGACATCACAAGATATTTTGTTAAACCTTGCAGAGGTTGTGGATTCAGAAAATGGGACTGTTATCTGAAGCTCTAAAAAGAGATGACATCACACTTCCACGAGCCTATCAGCTGATTAATCGTTCAGTTTGTGCAGTTGAAAAAATGAAAGACATGTCTGGCAAATATCTGAAGGAAGTCATGGAATCACTGGAGAAAGGGAATTTCAAAGGTGTGACCATCAATCCAGAACGTTCAAAAGGCCAAGTGAGGATTAATCTCCCTCAATTTTATCAATGTTTGGTGGATAATTTACGCTCTAGACTCTTTGCTTTAACTGCGAGCAACAGACTTGCAGCTTCATCACAGTCATGTGAATTTGAAACTCTTGTCTCTGAAACTGACATCCTGAATTCACAACGCTGGCCAATCAATGGGGACAGTCCATGGTTTGAAGGTGAAGTGAAACTGGAGCAGCTGTGCAAAACGAACAGGGATGTCAATTAGTCAATCTTATTCATTACTGTCCTGTCTGTACATTGGGGGCACCCACTCTATCTCTGTGGACCGGTTATATTGGAGAACTCTCTATCAAAGCTATCACTTTCTCGTCTTTCACCATTCATTTTCTTTCTTGGGCATTTGCAATTCAAAACTATATGACCAGGGAAATCACATTTATAAAATGTTAAATTTCCTTCAAGTTGCTGCACCAGCTTATCAGTATTTTCTCTTCCAGCCTCAGGCTGTGAAGCAGAAACCACTTCTCTGATTGCAGCCATATACTCCTTAACTAGCGTTTTCATGTATTTAGTCGAATGGTAAAATGTTAGTCCATGTAAGGAAAGCCAGATGAACATTACGTGATACCCACCAAGCACATCTAAACCAGTTCATATCAAATTAATAAAAAAGTAAAGGGGTGTAATGTCTGTCAATCAGAACTCTTGGGGTCAATGCTTCCACTAAAGAACAGAAGCTTTGCCTTTATATACTTCATGTTCTTACCAAGAACCCAAAGAAAAAAACAATGCATGCCCTAACACTGCAGAGAAGCTACCAAAAAGAAATGTAGTTTATTCCAAATGATATGCTGTTGTCAGAAGATGTACATCTCTAAACCAAAGCACATGAAACAAAATCACACAGAAGCACAGGTGAAGGATACAGTATATATCTTTTTTTTTTTTTTTTAACTCTTAGAATGGGGGGAAAAAGTTAACTCTTTTAGTGTTATCAGTGAGCCTGATTCACTGCATAACACACAAAGAGTGTTAACATGAATGTGGGACACACACTTACCCAGACAAAGTTCAGAACAAGGATATAACCACTAAACTGTGAATTGTCAGGAATTAGAAAGTTAATTTTGGCCAAAAAAAGCAAGTCTAAAAACAGAGCTAACTTGGAGAGTATTTCAGTTTTTTTGGGGCCTATAACACAAAATAAATGCACTGTTGATTCCTTTTAATTGCAGACAATTCGCACTATAGTGAATAACCATGATCGGAAGAGAAATCAGAATAATATCATTTATTACTTTGTGAATTACAGAAATTGGATAAAATATCTCCGAAAATAAAAATGAGTAATCCATCTCTGGCAGCAATGTTTACATATGATAGAGGCAGACATGCCGTGTTTACCCAGCTGGGCAATCAATGCCACCCACACACTGCCCCTGCCACCTTGTGTGTCCCATCCACCCAGACCCCGCCACCATATCCCTCAGTGGCTCCCAGCAGCCATGTTCCCCTCCTACACACACAGCGCTGGGAGACTTGAAGCTTGCATCACCAAGTGGCCACTCTCCCAAGTGTGAGTTATGCACAAAGTTATGCACTTCGGCGTAAAGAATACACAAGCAACGTATACCCTTAATGGAAGCGAATTAGAGATAACAACACACGAAAAGGACTTGGGAATTGTTATAAACTATGCAACAATGTGCAATGTCAAACAGCAGTGGCCAAGGCCAGTAAGGTATTGTCATGCATGAAAAAGGGCATTCATTCTCGGGACAAGAATATAATTTTGCCTCTTTATAAATCACTGGTAAGACCCCATATTGAATATGCTGTGCAATTTTGGGCACCTGTTCTAAAGAAGGATATTATGGCACTAGAAAAAGTGCAGAGGCGGGCTACAAAACTAATAAAAGGAATGGAACATATTGGCTATGAAGAAAGGTTAACAAATTTAAACCTATTTAGTTTAGAAAAACGTCGCCTGAGAGGGGATATGATAACATTATACAAATATATTCGGGGCCAATACAAACCATTGTGTGGAAATCTATTCACAAACCGGACTTTACATAGGACACGAGGCCATGCGTTTAGACTGGAAGAAAGAAGATTTCGTCTAAGGCAAAGGAAAGGTTTTTTTACTGTAAGAACAATCAGGATGTGGAATTCTCTGCCTGAAGAAGTGGTTTTATCAGAGTCCATACAGATGTTCAAACGGCTACTAGATGCATACTTGCAAGAACAGAATATTCAAGGATATAATCTTTCAATGTAGGGTAATAACTGCTTGATCCAAGGATAAATCTGACTGCCATTCTTGGGTCAAGAAGGAATTTTTTTCCTAGTTTGTTGCAAAATTGTGCTTCAAACTGTTTTTTTTTGCCTTCTTTTGGATCAACAGCAAAAAACAAATGTGAGGTAGGCTGAACTTGATGGACACAAGTCTCTTTTCAGCTATGTAACTATGAACTATGAGTGCCCACTCCCACATCCCTCCAGGAAGTGCTTTTTATCCCCCATGCGGCTGCGAGCACGGCTCACCTCTGTCTCCGGGTTCATTAACTTGTTTTTTGGACCCCCCGGGCTCCAACTGGGCTGAGGAGGATTATCACTTTCTGCTCAGATTCCCCGACACGAATGCGTCCGGGTCACATGTGCACCGATGGTACACTGAGGGAGAAACGGCGCGCGCGTGCACAAGAGCGAAGGAGAGAGGCATGTGCACGGACATGTCCCCGCCCCCTTCTCTATTTTTTTTTTTTTTTTTGGTGACGTTACCTTGATGTGAGGGAGGTGGGGGAGAAGGGAGAGGAAAGTGAAAAGAGAGCAGGTTAACTCATTGTGTGACTGAGGGTAACAAGCAAAGGGCCGGTCCTGCAGGACTACTAATGGGAACAGCGTTCCTGCTGTGAAAAAAGTTCAGGAACGTTGTTCCCATGCGTTGCTGCAGGACTCAAGCACTGTTAATTCTGTGTTAAATTATTGCTTCTGCTAACCATGTCAGCTACTTATTGGTTCCATATTACAATTGCAGATTGATGATATTATCAGGTGTAAAGGTAATAATTACCTGCTATAACTCTATCAACTGAGACCCAATAGAGAGTCAGGAGTTGCTGACATTTCATAACAGCAGCAACATTTACAAGAAGGTTAAAGCTGTCGTACCAGCAGCTCTAATGAATATGAGATGAGAAAGGGGAGAGCTAGAGATTCAGAGAGAGCTAGAGTTAGACAGAGAGAGCTGGAGCTTTAAATATAGAAACATTATACTGTGTGGCAATCTTTGTATTACAGCTCTGTGTAATCTATCATAATGCCCCTGGCTGTACCCAGCTCTGTGTACCCTGGCTCTGAAGGACAGATTGAACAGTGAAGCAAGCCTCTGCCATGGTTCTGCTTGGTAATTCTACAGGTTGGAGAGACACACAGGGGGGTAAGGAGGGGTTAAGAGTTACAAAGGGGTAAGGGGAGTTGAGTCACACTAAGTGGGGTTATGAGATGCACACAAGGAGGAAAATACAGTAAGTGGCTAAAGGAGGGTTAGAAGAGACATCCAAGGAGAGTAAGCTGCACAATAAGGTAAGAGGACTTATTAGAGAAAGGTAGGTTATACTGGGAATTATGAGAAATACATAAGGTATTAAGGGGCAGTAATGAGAGACTAAAATAAGTTTTTACAAAAAAAAAACGTGTTTAGGAGAGACAGGCATGAGGTAAGGGTAATTACTATTTTTGGATGCAAGAGATGAATACTACAGCAGGTGAGAAAATATAATGTAAATAATAGATCTAGCACTCTGTAAAGAAGAGTGTATTTTGCAATTTATATTCTGAATTGAAAAGGTGCCAGAAAGTTTGTAGCTCTTTTTTGAAAGCGAAGACTTCACATTTTTACATACATGTAGCTAGTTGGGAATCAGCATAATATTTGCACACTTCATTAATTTCATTATTTCTTTTTCACCATAATCACGTAATACCAAGGGGGGAAAAACTATATACTAGCAAAACTTGCATTTGCATACAGTTTTTTTAAAACGGGAGCTTTATTTCCACCCAAATTAAGTAGCCTAGCCTGATTCATTCTCTGCTGCTGTATTTGTCCTCTCTTTCTACATTACAGTTCTTCTGGTAAGTAGCCAGACTATGTCAATTAACAGTAAGCCTATCCCCTATGAACAGAAGTAAGTCCTGTGATCATGTTCAGCTAAGATCAAGGATTAGTAAATCAGCATGGCACCAGATTGCAGACAGTATTTAAACTCCACATGCCTACAAGCTAACGAAGCTATTTTAAATGCTGACTAGATGTAGGGAATAGAATCTCATGGTTACACAGAGGCTTATTTTACCATTCCTTTACAATCAATTACAAGTTTATTTAAATAAGCACTGATTTAATCAGTGTGCCCTGATCAAATACCCGTGAGCAAGTACTTGCAACTTCCACTATTAATATCTTATCGTGCCTTCCCTATCCAATTAGACATATTTTATTACACAGTGATGAATTATAGAAAGCAGACAGACTTTGTTTTGCCTTCAAACAATGAAAATGCTTCCAAGTAATTTGTGTTACGTAGCAGGTAGTGACCATCTCTAGGGGTATTCGGGTTCCATCAATCATTGCTGATTTATAAAGGAGGATAATACAGTAACAAGTTCCCACCTAGGTTTGTAAAATATACTCTGCTAATATTTTTTTTTTCTTCACAGCAGGTTAATTCTTCTCAGATAAAGTAGCAAGTGATGAGGTTAAAGCTTTTCGACTTCATACATGGCTAAGGCGTTCCACGGGGACTGTGTTGCTCAACTAAAGTGCCAGGGTCACAATGAGTGATATTTTTCAACAATGAATCAGCAGGAAAAATAAAACATGCTCAAGTAAAACAAGCCTTGTATTTATGTTTCCTTTAGCAAGCTAGGAGAGGAAGTTTGAGATCAAATGACCTAGATCAAATGATATCCCTTGCGTTGAACGTGTAACAATGGCCCAACCATTTCAAAGTAAAATATTGCGTATACCTATAACCATACCTTTTTGATGACAGTAATATCTAAGAAAAAGAACAAATTTCCATGTAAATAATTTTCTATGAAGGTAGAATTGACCGAGCGAGATTAAAGAAGCACTGTCACTGTCTGAGGACTTAGCAGAATTTGCAAAGATCCCTGAAGGTGACATCGTTGCTAGAGGTCCGGTGGGCAGGTGGCAGGCACAGGCGAGCTCTACTTGCAGGTAGCGCCATCTTCTTC